ATATTCATATGTATTTGTGTATAGAAGGCCAAATTCTACTTCAGTCAACTGAGCCATTATGATCCATTTTCATGGAACTAAGAGAAAAATATTGATTCAAAATATTTAGGGTGGCAGTATAATAATGTAATTATGTGTAAAGAATAATATACAAATTGTAATAGAGACTTATTTCAGGGGACTACAATAATTAAAAAACAGTAGTGTTAATTTGTGTACTAAGAAGTTCTGTGTCTCTGGCACAAAAAGTAGATTCCACAAAATTCTGGTTTTTTATCTAAAGAGAAGATCTTAGTTCAACTTATCTCTTCAAAGTGTTTGGTTTTGCTAGATAAATGTTTTTATTCAATAGATGCTTTTTACCCTTATGCTTTGAAAAAGGAGGAGCTGAAACAGTACTGTGTGATGCAGTACTTTAGCAGAAAACAAAACAATTAAAGGTTTTATTTATTGTTACAGGTAAATAAAACTTCTTACCTATTTCTGTTTAATACTGCGTTTAGTTCTGTTGTATTAATAATAAAAAACCTACTTGTAGAGTATCAGTAGTACTCAGCAAGTCTAGTCTTGCATCTCTCCAGAGTGCTTTGCTACATCAGGGCCCAATACTTTATCTTGTATGCATGACATATAATGTATGAAGTTATTAGAACTACCTAATTTGTAAATTGAAAACTATCTAAAATAATCTGATTTATGTATAAAACCTTTAATAGCTATCATTTTGAGCAATAACGTTCTCTTTTTTTAATTAGTTATAATTGATGTGATAATTTTATTTTTCATTTGGAGTAATTTGTTGCCTTCCAACCAAAAGCATGCTATGTGCCCTGTAATGTCTCATTTCATTTAGCAGGTATGATATGATGTATGATACGTAACCCATGCCTAAGAACCAACACCAGCAGTACCCTTCTGTACTGAAGTATCATTCTGTCTTTATATTTGTCAGAAATGTTGGCTTTCCACATAATTTTAGTTCTGCTGTTCTCTAAGTCAGCTCAGAGAGAGTAGTAGGATTATATGTCAAAGACAGGTCTGTATGTTCATATCCTGTACATAAATATGGTGACAGGGAGAATAGTGCACTCAATTTCTATTGATATATTAAAAATCTGAGATGTAAATTTTCAGTGTAGAACTCCTGACTTCTATTCTCTCCCAGAATATTTAGGTTTTTGAAATGCTGTCCTTCAAATACTCCTATTTGCAAATCAGTATGATAATCTTTGCCTGTCTGCAGTCCAAATTACAGGACCATTATGATCTGTGGCCTTGAAACCATAATCAGGCAGCCTTCCACTGAACCCCGAATAACTGAAATATTTGCTGTGGCATCTCCTAGGTGCCCAATTCGCTTGTCACTCTTCATTTGTAGACTGTACAGCAGGGCTGTGAGCTGGCAGCTTCACGTAGTGGAGAATGTGAGTGATTTGCAGCTGTCCTGGACTAGGGTCCTGTGGCTAGCTAGGATGCTATCTCTCAAAATAAGCACCCATCTCCAGTTGGCTGTAGGTTTTTTGCCTTTTGTAAATTCCCCCCAAAAGCTACAAAACCGTTTATTTTACCATGCTCAGTTGAAATATTGCTGTTTTTTATAGATCCGCCAAAAGACAATGGAGGAGCAGCAATAAATATGTATGTTGTGGAAATGTCTGAAGGCTTAAATGGTAAGTATTAGGAGCATATGTTGGCATTCAGCTGTGTTCTTTTTTCTGCATGTGTGTGCCTGTGGGAAGAGTAAACTGTGTCTTATGATAGGGAAACTTACTGTGAGGGACTGCCCTTTAAAAAAATAGAGAAGTTGATGCTTGTTTACAAGAGATTCTTTTCCTCTTAGAAAGAAGATGCCACAAAACTCTGTGTCACAAGAGAGAATCTGTTTTTAACTTAGTAATCAGGTGTATTCTGTTTTGGAAATGAAATGACACATTTCAGACACATTAGGGGAAAGAAGACAGGGCCACGCTTTGTTGGATGCGTGACAGGTGAAAGAAAAGCTAGTGCTCCATTTATCATTATTAAAGGAGAAGAGTGTTGCAGTTGGAATAACTGTTTCTGCTATTTCCTTTTCTGTCCTTTTGTACAGAAAGGAAATTAACAATATTTCTGAACTGGACATAAAGCTATCCAGCTATTTAAAAATCTGGGCCTCTTAAGTAACCTTACTAAATTCAGAAACGCAGTCACATTGAGAACGGAAGGTTGTACTTCTCCAGTGCTCTGTCAGATTAAGACATCGCACTGTGCCCAGATTGTAATGGCAGCTCTGTCAGGGCTCTCAGTGTGGTTCTTTTGATACTTCGTCTGTAGGTTTCCTTACTCCATCGTGTGTCCACATTAAGTCACTTTTGGAATTATTTACCCGAGCCTTTCACACGGATATAGTGAGCTGTGCATTACGTTTCATTCCCAGTTCTCTAAATTTTGCAGTGTATTGGGTTGTTGGAGATTTAATTAGAAGTCCCCAGGTTCCCTGCTTAATCTCTTAAAAAGAGAGAGAATGCTAAAGAGTTTCTGATTTAAGAATCTGGCTGAATTGCAAAGAATGAGATCTGTATTGGCGCTGGGCCATTCAGGAATACAGGAACAAGCTTTATCAATTGTAAACTGAAATTACAGTCTGCAAAATGAATGTTGTAACTAAAGGTTTCTTTTCCGTGGAAGATTTTGCTTTTGTGTCTTTCCTGTTTATTTGGTTATGATGTTTGAATGTGCTTGCTGGCCCAGTAATAACTATTTCATTAAAAGTAAATTCTCTCCTAGTTAATGTGAATACGAAATACAGAAGATCTTTCACTTCAGCAGATCTAGACAAATTTACCTAGGAAATTATTAAATGGTTGAATATTTTTCCAGGAAACTCCAAAGCAAGCCTTGTTTATTAAAAAAAAAATAAATATTTAATGAAGCTAGGATATCTGCTGTGGCTGGTACTACAGTGTGGCAGATTACACCTTGGTTCAGCACACTCTTATTCTTACACTTTCAGGAAACAAGTGGGACACAATATACAGTGGAGCTGCTAGGGAACACGTGTGTGACCGACTAAATCCTGGCTGTTCCTATCGCTTACGTGTATATTGCATTGGGGAAGGAGGACAAAGCATGGTAATATGAGCTAATGATTTTATTAAATAAAATTTCCCTCTCTTTAGTAAAATCTGGTCTGGTAGTTAATAAGCAAATTTTGTACAGAAGTGCCTAACACAATAGTCATAATTAGTACCTTAAAAGGATTCTAGTATCGATGTGCAGCGCTTCAAGTTTCTGCCCATTTCTTAAAGAAATAAATATGAATATTGTCTTCTGATACTACATGTTGTTTAGAGTGATTTTTCTTATTTACAGAAACAGATTGTATGTTTTTCCCTGTGTGGTATGTTGATAGAATGTCATTTCTTAAGACCTAAGCCAAGACAGCAGTGTAAATTTCATGTTTTCCATGTGGTCAGAGGAGTGCCTTGTCTGAGCAGCCACAGCGGCTCAGCAGGCAGAGGAGGAAGCAGTGTTTCCTCAGGCTTTACAGGGCTGTGCTCCCTTCCCATGCTGTCTCAGCCACAATCAAATGTTTACATTGCTCTACTTTTCAGTATTCTCAAACAATTTGGTGTGCCATAGTTTGCTCCCTCATATGTACGTATTACACACACACACTTGCACTGTCACTTCGAACCCTGCCTCTCTACAGGTTCCCAGCAGGGCTTCCTTGTCAGGCTGATCTCCTGAATGTCTTTGAGCTTTGTGTTCTTGGTGTTTGCCATTTCTTCCTTAGCCGCCCTTTACAATATGAAATTCCTCTGATCTTCCTCTGCATAGAAGTCTCTTGCAAAGGTGGCCTTGCCCACAGCCACGTTGTCTTAAAAATAAACATGGGCTCCTTCAGTGCTAGCTCAGCTGCAACGCTTTCCCTCTCGCCATAGCTCAGGGTGCTGTTGTGCAGGGGAAGGGGGAAGGCAGTGACCCAGTCACGTAACCAGAGGTGCATGTATGTATTTGGGGGCTTTTGCTCTGCCAACTTCCTTATCCTTTACAAGCCAACGCTATTAGTTTAGAATACACTTTATTTGAGTGCCAGAGAGAAGATAACTTACAGAAAGTCCTCATACTTTCTGAAGGTGTCAAAAATCAACAGAAGAATAGTAAAGAAAGTTGTATTAAAACCTTTCTGTGGCTTGTCATGGACATATGCCTCCTGAGAAACGCGCTACTTTTTAAGTAACATCTGTTGTTCAGTTCAAAAATACATTTCAAAGGAACTGAAAAGAGGCAGAGCTTCCAACCTAGTCTTTCTGGAACATATGTAGAAAGCAGTTGTGAAGCGAGACTCTTAAGATGCGTCTCTCTTGTAAACTAAAAGGCTTACCAGCTTTGCGTTTGTTCTGGATCGCTCTGAAGCTAATAACCCCACGTTGTCTCTGACTCATTTCTGTCTGCATCAAGAGTAGTCAGTGCCATCTGCTACGTGTTGTTATGCTATGTATTTTTGCACAGACTTCAAATCAGAGGTGGAAGTTTATTGCACAATAAGTACTACTAAGCAATGAAAAGGTTGAAATCTCTCTTTAATCTCTTCTGATTTACATTTCTGCCCACTTTTGCTTTCTGAGAGGTTCTTGCACAGAAAGTATACAACCCTTGGAGTAAGGTTTTAGAAGCCCTTAAACTGCAGTTTGATGTAAAAAAGAGCTGAGTTTACATCGAACAAGTCATATTTCAAGCATCTGTACTAGTTGTGTACTGATACTTAACTACTGTTTTTAGTTCTATGCCTTGCATGTCAACCAGAACACAAAAGCAAAAGTTAATTTTGCATATTGTGTGCTTACTGTAGCATGTTTTATATAGGTATTATGAGAACTAAATATCAGATCACTGAAGCATCATTGTGTATTTGATGTAGTTCAAAAAATGGAAGATCCTGTTTCTGACTTAAATATTTGTCTTTACTTGTGGCATGATTTGTAGTGCTTGTTTTGGCCTAGATGGTTTCATTAATCTATCTTTTCTCTGTAGGCATCAGATTCTTTACTGGTGCAGACACCAGCAGTGGTTCCTGGTCCGTGCCAGCCTCCAAGGCTACAGGGTAGACTGAGAGCAAGAGAAATTCAGCTGCGCTGGGGTAATTCTATGACAACTGTTTGTGAGTGTAAGGGATCCAAATGTGTTATATGTTAAAATTAAATAAGCTTTCCTTTCTTTCTTATTTTTAGGACCACCTCAAGTAGACGGTGGCTCACCCATTACCTGTTATGGTCTGGAAATGTTTCAGACAGAAACCGATGAACACAGAGAGGTTTACCAAGGCTCTGATGTTGAATGCACAGTAGGCAGCCTTCTTCCAGGGAGGATGTACAACTTCAGACTGCGAGCAGCTAACAAGGCTGGGGTAAGGAGGCAGTCTGAAAGGAAACTGGCTCCAGAGACTGCAATCACTATTAAGGGTTTTTTGTTTTAAAAGAGGCATTTAACAGTGTAAGGATTTCCTGATGTAGAGTCATTTGATTCACATAGCTTATTGTTGTGTGGGAACAGACAGTTAAACAGCAGTTTATAATAAAGAGAGTTTTACATGAAGGGAAGAGAAAATAGCTGATTATGTCTTCTATCTGAATAATAGCATTGGGAAATGGTTAGGAAATGCCAAATACTTCATCAAAGCATTGTTGCAAATTTAATATTCTCATGTAAAGTAGTAAAGTATTTTCTATATACAGCTGTGTAAATTGATTGACTTTCATTTTTACAGCCTTTGGTGTTCTAGAACATAATAATTAGTGTTTCCTGACTCTTTTTTATATTTAGTATTAACTTCTGAGTACATGTTTTATCAGATACAAGAATATTTTCTGTTTGGAGCATTACATGTTTTTAAATCAGTTGCTGCTGTAGAACAAGCTTGCTTTAATTATGTATCCAAAGTCCTGATTTAAAGAGAGAGCAGCAGGGCTCCTTGTTCAGTAACGTTCTCTTCATGAAAACTACTATGACCAGTTGACACTGTGGAGAAGTCTGCACCTTAAGGCTTTAAAGCACTGACCTACCATTTTATCTGCCCCCTGCAAAGAGTGGTTTATAGCGTAAGCATTTTTTGACTCTTTTCTTTCTTTTAGATAGATAGAAATAGGCAGTTACAAATTGTGTTCTGTTACAGTGCAGCCACCATGTAACTTCAAAATAAGAATTTGGATAGCACTTCCCTGTTTTGCCTGAGAGTTTGAAGTGTCAAATATATTCTGATTGCATTTGCTATAAAAACAAAGAGTCTTGCAGCTATTCTGGAGAATAGTCAGATACTGAAATAAATCCTAAATCCACAGTCCACAAAGATTTATTTTATAAGCAAGCAATACAAAGTTTTGGGCTGCTGTTACATGTCCCATCCTGGTAAACTGTTATTTTTAAAGGAGTAATTTTATTTTTACAAATTAATTACATAAACTCCTTTCTTAATAGTTTGGACCTTATTCGGAAAAATGTGAAGTAACTACAGCACCTGGACCACCAGATCAGTGCAAGCCCCCTCAAGTGGCGTGCAGATCTGCTGCATGTGCTCAGGTGTCATGGGAGGTAAGAATGCCCTGTTATGCCTATCTGAACGTGATTGTCTTCTACATTTTCAAGTTCAACTTTAAAAGCTTAAGACAGCATTTTAATCACATTTTTTAAACATACTTACCTGATTATCCAGCACTTGGTAGGTAAAGCCTTAAAGTGAATCATCACACCATTATATGATGGCTGTAAGTTGGCAGCCTGCAGGTACTTGGGATCTTACTTTGCTCTACTGTTGTTAAGAGGTTTGCCACAACTGCAGTACATTTCTGAGTGAAGCAGGCTTTTCTTAAAATTTTTCTTTAATGCAGTTATCTTTCCTCAGAGAAAATATATCCATGTAATACAATAGATTATTGTGCATTTGTTGTTCTTATAAACTGATGTAATTTTATGTAGTTACATCAGTAATAATGTAGCAAAAGCCTACATACTTCCTATAAACCCATAGTATTTGAATATCTGATTAAAACATGCAATAGATTAAAAATTAAGCTTGTAGAAAGAAAGATTCTATCTGGGAATACTGTTTAAACACAGCTTTTCAGTTGCTTGAGATGGAGTGAAGTATATGAGTTACACAACAGTACAGAAAAAAAGGCTAAATGATCTCTGTATTTAAGCAACTGAAATCACAATTACTTGGTACAGAGTAGTCTCTGCAAAAGTAAACCCTGTTTCTGACTCAAGTATTTGCCTGTACTTGTGGCATTATTTATAGTGCTTGTTTTGCCCAGATGATTTCTAGTTTTTTAAAAGTATAGGTAACCCAAGGCCAGTAATTAATTCTGATTTATTTGTGTTGTACTCAATTAAAAATCAGGAAATAAATGGGAACTTAAAATTCCAGGGAGGGGGAACAAAACAAAACAAAAAAACCCAACAGTACTAGATGTGGTGAGTTTGGTTGATTTTTTTTTTTTCAGTTGGAGAATTTAACATCTGACTGTTTGTATCCATTTTAAAGGTTCCTGTGAGTAACGGAGCTGACGTCACGGAGTATCGGCTGGAGTGGGGCGGTGTGGAAGGGTGTATGCAGATCTCCTACTGTGGGCCTGGGCTCAACTGTGAAATGAAAGGGCTTTTGCCTGCCACTATATACTATTGCAGGGTTCAGGTAAAAATGTAAAACTGTTGTTAGCGAAATCTGGAAATGGGAATTGACCCTCCTGTAAAAACGGCATCTACTTTGCATTTGCAGGCAGCAAATGTTGCAGGTGCAGGCCCTTTCAGTGAAGTAGTGGCATGTATGACTCCAGCCTCTGTACCTGCAGTTGTGACTTGTCTTCGGGGACTGAGTGAAGATGAAGTTGAAAGTCCACACTATTCTCCTTCCACATGCCTTGCTATAAGCTGGGAAAAACCTTGTGACCATGGATCTGAAATCCTTGGCTACAGCATAGACTTTGGAGATAAGCAGCCAATAACTGTTGGGAAGGTTCTGAGCTATATTATAGATGGCTTACAGCCAGATACTACCTACAGGTATGCTATGCACAGCCACTTGACAGCTTGCTGATCCTTCCATGAGAGCACATTCTTTATTTGTTTCCTTCTTTGTATTTTTTTTAATTCTCTACATGACTCTCAGAGTACATAGTACATTAGTACACAGGCATGGGGGAAGAGGAAGCTTTTTAACGATGATCTTCATGAGTAGATGAGCTGTGCTGTTTTTACTTTCTTTCAGGAACAGTTTATTTTAGTGTGTTCATTGCTGTAGATCTATTATATGTATTGTATGGTTAATGTGTCTGCTTAACTGAATTTGGACTGCAGATTCAATTTTGGACTGACTGCTTCATAGATGGATGGTTTCTAATCTGTTTGGCAAGATAAAATCCATCCAAGAAAGGACCATGTCCAGTCTTTATTGTCTGGATTGTCTGATCTAATGACAGCTCATTGCAACTTGCAGTGCCTTTTCTGGAGAAATAGCAAGTATTTGGGTGGCAATAAGCATGAAGAATGGTGGTTTGAAAATCTTGCCAATCATTTTTAAATCTCATTTGAAAAATTTTAGTTAGTAAAATCATCTCTTATGTTTGGCCTAAGGGTTACTATATACATGTGAAAATCAATAAATCTTCCTGAAGGCACTCCACAGTCCTGTTACAAAAACATGCCCTCAGTGTTAAAACTTAAAGGAGCGTGTCAGTGCCACTGAAGTCAGAATTTAAGCCCACACTGATTTCAGAATACTGAGGATATCATCTGGCTATGTAGTTTTCTGAATTATTCAAGATTTGTTTTTACTTATTTAAATGCTGTATGTAAGACTATAATGTTTCGGTGTGCCTTAGTAGTAGTTAACAATAATGCTGGCCATTGAAGAGCTGTTGCTTTCTGTCAGCAAACTGAAAAAAAAAGAGAAGCCTCTATTGCAGAGATACTTAGGTACTTCTACCCAGAAAAGTGCTTTCTTGGAATACACTGTCAACTCTTTCTGCAAATAAAAAATTGCATGTATTAACCTTAGTTCTGTGCTATAATAAAGTAGCATAATGTTAAATATTTCTGTAGTGAAGGAAAAATATTTATTCATAAGCTTGCACACACGTTTTTGTTTCAGTATTTTGCAGTTTTGTGATTGATTGTTTCAGAAGTCAATTACTGTGACTACTTTTTTTCAGTTATCTAGACACTACTTTAGACAAGCAAATGTTAGTCTGCAAAATGAGGTTAGACACACTTTGTTCTCTGTGGTTGCCTGTGAGATGCGTAAAGAGCTTCAGATTTCTCTGGTTTCTCTTTTTTCCATTTTAGAAATAAATTTCTTGGCTACTTCTTTTAATTCTTACTTGTAAACCTAATGCCAGCATTGTTTTCTGTAGAGTATTCAAAAGAATAATTCCATTATCCCTGAATTCATAGTTCTACAAACCCCTCAGCCATGTGTCCTTTGACTTGTTTTAGTTCCCTCCTCTCCCTTTCGGAGCAGATCCAAGATGGTTTGTGTTTGCAGGTTCCTGGAGATGTGTTATGAGTGAAAACAGCAAGAGAGGTAGCTGGGCACCATCACTTTATTGTCACATTAATCAGATCTGTTCCAAAAAGCCTGTAAAACTTTCCTGTAGTCTTCCTTGGACTTGCCTAATATATAAGAGCCAAAGATTCATCTTTTGGGGGTGGGTTTGTTTTTTACCTTCCCTCATCTCTTCAGTGTGGCTATCAAAAATGTTGGTACAAGGCCTGCAGGGTCAGGAAAATGGATCACTCTTGAAGTAGTTGATAAAGCTTTTGCATCTTTTCACCCTAATGTGAATGATGCAAATATACAGACATATTTTTATTTTAATCAGTCCAGCTCCTTAAAATGTGGCAAGGAAAGCGACACCTCTACATATTAATGACAGTCTACCAAAGCGTGATACTGATAAAAGTCTTCATTGTAGGAAGTACTATCTGTTTGGTACCGTTATTCTGTCTTGAATGTGAATGATGGAAATTGCCAGTTATTTTTTAGACTGTAATTTTAAGTTAACTTTTTCTCTCTTTTTTCCAAATACTAGAGTACGAATTCAAGCCCTAAACAGTCTCGGAGCGGGTCCTTTCAGCCACACCATAAAGCTGAAAACAAAGCCTCTCCCCCCGGATCCACCTCGCCTAGAATGTGCTGCCTACAGTTCTCAGACTCTCAAGCTGAAGTGGGGAGAGGGAACTGCAAAAGCATTAACTGACTCCATTCAGTACCACCTTCAAATGGAGGATAAGAATGGAAGGTTGGTTTTGGCAACGCTTTAATCTGCCCCCTATGACTGTGGTCTGGTGCCTGGGAGATGGCAGCAAAGGGCAAAATTCCATATGCTTTGCTGAATTTACAGCAGACATAGGAGGTCATCTCAACTGGCAAGGCAAGAAGGGCTCCAGTGTTCTGTGCTGGAAAGTATGAGATTAAAGACTTTATAGTTTTTTATTTACAGTTCAACATGAAGATTTTAATGAAATGTTTTGTACCAGTACACTATATTCTCTCTCATGTATGGTTAAATATTTTGTCAAAGTATCAAGTCTGATCAGTCTTGTGGATTTTACATACTTGATACTGGAAGAAGTGAATTTTGTATTCTCTGTTGTCTTTATATGCAATTATTTTTAGTGGAAAATCAATTCCTATACTACAAGTTACTATTTCAAGGGGTCCCTTCTCTCAGGTTAAATCGAAATGTAAGCTGAGATGGTCCAGCAAGTACCACTGGTAAAATGGACGTTGCTGCTACTTTGTGTACCATGTCTGAACCTCTGAGTAGCTTTAGCTTGACAGTGAGACAAAATAGATCTGCTAGGTGAAATTGCACTGTGGGAAGGAGGAAAAGAAATTAGACTCTTAACTGGGAAGAAAATAATTGCCATTACCAAAGACTAGGTCATGTGCACGTACCATCTGTTCTAAATTTAAAAGAAAATAAAAAGTCAAAGTAGACAATAACCCCTGCAGGAAGAGAAATGCTTATGCTGTGTCCTGGGGATACCAAAATTGAAAATCAAATGAGAGCTGCCACGATCAGCCTGTGTAAGAATTGTAACATGAGGGAGAGTGGCCAGTCTACAGACCTCTCAGAACAGGACTTGGTGTGCACTGCAAGTGTGACTTTGGCCTCCTGTGCAGATCTGAGTGAGCGTCATCAGTCATCCATCTCTGACAATGGTGTACAAGAGGAGCTGGATCCATGACCCTTTCTTAGGTGGAGTAAGAGAGAGTTGTAAAGGATCAAAAAGCTGAAATCTAGTTACCTAATTTGGAAAAGCTAAAGAAAAGCAGTGTATGCAGCTCATTGAGAGATAGAACTACTATCCTTTCCCATTGTTTCAAGTGCAGAAGCGTTTCTGAAAATGCTTAGAGTCTTTTTTGCCATGAGACAGTCCACGGTACTCTTTTGAGTTAAATAGATTTTATTTCAGAGACATGAGAAATAACAACTTGGTCCTGGAAAATGAGCTTATTTTTTAATAGTAATGCTAGAACACTGTTTAACTCTGAAATTAATATTTTTGGGCTTCTCATTAGATTCTGGGAAATTATGGGAATAGATTTCTAGACAATACTGTTGCTACTTCAGAAGTCCTTTTCTTTGTTTAAAATAAGCTACTCTTTCTGTTTTCAGGTTTGTATCCTTATACAGAGGACCATGTCATACATACAAAGTACAAAGACTCAGTGAGTCAACATCATACAAATTTTGTATTCAGGCATGTAACGAAGCGGGTGAAGGTCCCCTTTCTCAAGAATATGTTTTCACTACTCCCAAATCCGTTCCAGCTGCCTTGAAAGGTAAAAGTGCTGCTTTTTTCGTTTGGGAAGTGGGGGCGTGGCAAGTTGGTTTTGGTATTGTGTTGTATTTGGGGTACTGAGAATGCTAAGCCCTTTTCCAAATGCAGGTAGAGATAGTAAGGGAACACTGCTTCCAGGTAATTGCCTAAAGCCTAAAATATTCACTCCAAAAATGAAAGACTTGAGGTTTATGCATTCTTTGACATTAGAAGGTTTGTACTTCAGATCCTCATTTCCCAGGACAGAATGTCCAGGCTGTTAATTTGAGGTGAAAATTCTTCCTAGCATGTTTAGAACAATTTTAAACATAGCAGCTATTGGTTTTTTTGCATACGATACACACTTGCGGTCACCAAATTTTACTTGCTATCTCTTGGATGGTACCTAAACCAGCAATAGAGACCTCTGTGAACTGTTAGTTGTTGTTCCAGAAAACATTGTAGGAAAAATACATTTGAACCTGAATTTTTTGTTCCTCTGAGACAAAATAGCAGAGAGGATACAGAATTTTAGGATGTGTTAGAATACAGCGTTGCATGACGGGAAAAGCCAAGCTAGCTGTCGCTTCTGTGTTTTCTCTCGTCAGCACCCAGGATAGAAAGAATAAACGACCACACTTGTGAAATCACGTGGGAGGCTCTGCAGCCCATGAAAGGTGACCCGGTTATCTACTGTCTTCAGGTCATGGTGGGAAAAGACTCGGAATTCAAACAGGTACGATGCATTTACTCGTATTTTTCTTCAATTAGTATTTGTGGTAACAAGTTTAGATTAAAGATTATTGTGGTCCCGTATGTTTATAGTCACCGAGCAAACTTTTTTGTTACTAAATAATATAAGGTACTATCTCCTGAAGCCATTGTCATAGAGAAAAAAGATCTAAGAGTCATACTTCTGCAGATAGGAAAGACCCCCTGCTTGCACAAATGTTGACATTCTGG